GGTGTCATTTCATGGCTTCATCTGCATGTGTGCTACTTGTGAAAGGAGAGCTAAGACCCTACTTAAACGACATGTGAAGGGGAACCTCCTCATGAATCCTTTCAGGGTTGGTCTGTGTGAGCTGGTGACACAATAGAAAAKATTCTGGTTCAACTTATATTAATAATAAATGGCCTTTAGATGATCTTAATGCCAAATACACCATTTTGAACAACTGGATCCTTTTGAGGTCAATGATGCATACCCTGATAAAGGCTGGTGAAGCCTTTCCCTCCTGATGAATGATGACTCTTGAGGGATGTTAGAGATGGTAGTTGATAGAGAAGATGGTGGAGCAGCTGTATGAGACAGGCATTCAGGAAGTAATTTATTGCAAGTCTGTTGAAAAATGAATTAGAGAGTAAAAGGGAAACACCCGATGGAGTATGGTTTGTGAAGTAATGAACGACAGTTCATTAGTTGTATGAAAAGTTCCAGAGTTGTATGAAACTGTTCTGTGGAGGAGGTGGCACACACAAAACAGGATGTTTTCACTATTTGGTAGGAATACAACTTAAGTAGCTCCTGATGTAATCTTTCTAAGTTCTAGGCGTTTATTCTTGCTTGTCTTACAGCAGCACTGAGGATTTGTACCATTTGATGGCAAGAAGGGAGGATGAATGAACCGAAAAAGAGAATCTATTTCACAGGATTTTTTTTTAAAGAATTTTGATGGAGAATGCCAGGGTATTACTGGCACAAATCACGGATCCAGACTGATGAAGTTAATATTCAAAACACGGGAATGTCTTAATGGCAGGTACAAAATGCACAGTAAAAGTTTGTGCTAACTTTGTTTGGCACTTCCTGAATCATTTCCACTTGGATTTTATTGATTAACAGCTACCACTATGGACTTATGAACCCTGGTGTGTCCTTCAGGTATTTTGCACAAATTATTACTGTTTTTTAAAAGAAAATAAATGTAAAGTGATATACTTTCCAAATGTACAAGAAAAGTAATTCTTTGCTGCTTTGTAACTTACCAGTGAAAAATAAATGCTTCCAGTGAACTAGAAAGGAATAGAATTTTACTTGTAAATAAAGGGATTTTTAATCGTTTCTTTACCTGTAGAGTATGAAAGTCCTCTAGGCTAGACTGTCCCTTCACTTGCACCTGTGCATTTTCAGAGTATTTTTTTATTAATGCACAACTTCCTTGGTAATTTACAGGGGATAATGTGGTGCCCTGGTAGAAATTAAATTTCTCTACAGAAGTGTATATTTGACATGGTCATGTTCACTTTCAGCATTTAAGAAGTAAGAGCAAATAAGCATGTGCGTCTCTGAACCAAGAGTAAAGTTTCAACTAGAAAATGCTTGCTTATAGATGTCTGTTATAAAGTAGAATGGCCCCTTCTTTAAGGAATATAGCTGTAATAGTGCAGCCCAAGTACAGCCTGCAAATGCTACATTACATCCAGGTTGGGGCAGACCAAATGCCAGATATAAATCAGTGCTTCTCTGATCTGGTTTGAACTTTGTTTTCTATGTGGTTAAAAAATATTTCCTTTAGAAGAAGGCTCATAGTGTGGAAGTAATTTTCTGACTTAAAGTATTGTGCCATCTGTTTCTGTTTTCTGTTGGTAGCATCATTGCTTTCTTGGGCAGTGAGTAAATCAGTGTAGAGTCTGTGTGTGTGTCCTGTCTCTGTTCCCTCCTGTCCTTTCTCTCCTCTACCCCCAACCAAAAAAAAAAGACTTTGAAAATAAAATGTCAGGAATTGGCAGGGGGAGGTACATGCTACTCTCCCGATACTTTAAATGTTACCTTTCTGTAGGATGAATGGAGCTAGAGCCTGCTTTCTCATCAGGAATTGTAAGCAGAGTGGTACCTCCTGAGATGCTTTACAGCAGTGAAGCACAGCTGAGCTGGACRCTGCCTGACATTTAACACTACTGCACTCATCTGCTCTTAGACATATGAGTCCTTCCTCATGCTGTGAAAATACACCCTGCTGTTGCGTATACAGAGGGTTCTGAAGTTCTTAATACACAGTGGTATTCTTAAAACTTGGGGGTTTGATACTGTGAGAAGCTGATATTGAAGGGATAATACTSTTGCAAGYRAAAAGAAAATCAAGGAAAATAATAAAACTAGTWATTTGTACCAATGGCATAAGAGATTGTTTTATTTTGTTTTTCCTTTCTCATTCTGTAGCACGTTCTGGGTCTCTGGCAGCAGGTAGCCTGAGAGGTTACCTCTAAAACTATACTTCCATCARTTGCTGATGCTACTCCACAAAGATGGACTGTTTTGGTAGGACAAGGCTCCGTTGAAGTGACTGCTAGTAAGCAAGCCATCTCTGTTCATTTCAGTCCCATTCAAAACACAGGAAAAGGCTCAGTCTTTGCTAAACTTGAAAAGCTGAAACTTCTACAGAGGTTAAAAATTATTTATTTCAAGTGGGTGTAAAACATATTTTCAAAATAAACACTGAAACCACACCTGGCTCTTACAACATATATTAATCATATTCTGTGTGGGCTGATRTACAAAAAATGTTGAGCTTTGAATTCTTTGATTTTATAAATGCAGGTTTGTTCCAACTAGCATTTAATATAAGCAATGCTTAAGTAGTGTCAGATACAATGCACCTTCTCATTATGTAGTTCTACTCCATTGTAGCTTGSTTAACTTCTGGCAAAAAGATATGCCTGTTTTGATACCTCCCTAATGCTTAAAAAACTTTTTTCCATAATGAAGTAGTCATAGGTGGGATTAATTCAACTATTTGGTTTTAAAGTGTACCAATACTTCTCTAAACAAAAGCTGATGGTAATCCTAGTGCAWTAGCTTTTAGTGTTTCTGTAGCAAATTGTTCTCTTAGTTCAGTGTGCTTATGTTYTGTAGTGTTGTATTGATTGTCATCTGCTTTTCAAGTACATCTCCTTGATGTACTTGGTGTTTCTTCTGAGAGAACAGTCTCATGGTCCATGTGCCATGTTTTCAATTCTACATGCTACTATAGGTGAATCAGTGTTCTACAGGTATAAAATGCTGGCATTCCCCAGCATGTAGTATGTGGGGTTTGGGGGATTTTTTGTTCTGTTGTTTTTTTTTTTTTGTTTTTTTTTTTTAATGCCTTTGAGTTCATACTTCTCCTGCACTTAACACTTGTCCTTGTAAAAGCCAAACTGAGCCTAGTGTTTGCATGTGGCACATCTCTTCTCACCCTTTAGAGGTCAAAATGGAATGTGGGGAATTTTCCTCCTCAGAGTGGGTGTATTGCTGGGGAGCTGCCTTTGCTCCATACTGCAAAAAGATCTGYCTGCATCCTGACCTGCCTGTACCTTGAGCTGGGGCTGCTCAGGGCACCATGGCAGTGATGGTTTGCTGCAGTGTTCTCCACCATGCTCTGGTCTGAGACTGACTGCCACCATCCCCAGACTGCGTTTCTGTCTCTATCATATATCTGATCTCTTTGTTCTCCTGGGTTTTGGCGACATTGCTGAGAGAACATAGGCAATTTGGTAGGGATTTTTTTAAAATCAATATAAGCCTTGGGTTTGATACCGTGTTATGACTCTTCTAATCTTCTGGCTTCTGACTGAATTGTCATTCCGTTAGAGTCCATATGGCTCAATTGCTGAAGCGTCAATGGCAGGGTTGTGTTGTGTTGCTTTTTAGGGTTTGGCCCTTCTGTTTTAACTTAAATATTGCATTAGTGGAGTCTTAGTGTTTTGTGGTACCACTGTGCAGCAACAAGATCTGCCAAATCTGTGTTTCTGTCTTTGGTGTATTGTTTAGCAGGTTTCTCTAATTGAGCATGTTAAAGAATAAGCAGTCTAGGGAAATCAAACTTGCCAACCTCCAAACAGTAATACCTGGAAAGAGATGGTGGTTGCACCCCTTTTTCTCTTCATGGAGTTAATAAGGAAGGAGTTGAACTGGTGGTCAGCTCCAGCTGTGCAGTCAAAACTTTCTTGTTCAAGATTACTTGGGGCAGACACAAACATGCTCTAGCTGGGTCCTTGCAGGCTCTCAAGATCCAGCAGGGTTCATTAACATGGGCTCACTGCCAAGAAAATGCACCTCTGGTGCTCCCAGACCAAGTAGGATCTGCTGTTTTGGCATGAAGTCCGAGCAGTTAAAACCTGCCAAGCGTGAAGGGTGCAGATCTGGGTCCAGCTGAGTTCTTGGATGCAGGAGCTTTGGAAACACATTGCGGATATCTGAGCATATGGATCAGCTTGATACCATCAGGACTCATTGGATCAACAACAGTTTCTGCCCTGTTAACCTCAAGCTTGTTTGTGTGTTTGGATTTTGTTTGGTTTCTATTAAGGTTTTTTAATGTTTTGTTATTGTTGTTGTTGGGGTGTRTGTATTTTTAAAACTTTTGACTCTTGAGTTCTGGGGAAATTTATTATCTTGATCAACCCCAAGCTCTAAAACTTTCTGCAGGTGCAGTATGGCATGTAAGGMGATTCTTGGAATCAGACTGCAGAGGCATTGAGTGTGCTGCACAGTAACCAGCTCCGGGTTCCTTAGTCCGAGCTGCTGATCCTAAATTGTGTTTTAATTTCTCTGTGCTGTGATTCCCAGATCATTTTGCAGTGAAATTATATGCATTGTTTGCTTTCTCACAGCCTTTATGAGCCATGCTAGTGGAGAAACTGACCATTACACCCGAAGTGTGGAGTGCTGGGTGGACATTGTTAGTTAGGATTTGTATTTTGGTTTTGTGGTGGTGCATGTAGCCGTGGTACATACATTGAGACAATATGTTTAATAACTGCAGGTGTCTGGGTAATTAGCTTTTCTGTTTGGATTTGAAAATGCTCTCTGGAAAAATTGCAGTGTGCGTGGTGTAACTCAAATAATTTAAAGACGATATGTTAGATAGTCCCTGGATTATTACAGTATTTGAAATTATTTTTTTCCCAAAATCCACTAATGCTTGCTTAACTATTCCAAGCAAAAGGTCATACAGCTCTTACTTTCTTCTTCWTATGCAGGTGCAGCTGGGACAAGCGGATATAAAATGCCCCATCACAGAGTGCAACGAACACCTGGATGAAACAACTGTCCTATATAATCTCCCCCAYGATGACATCATCAAGTACAAATACTTCCTGGAACTCAGCCGCATTGACTCCAGCACCAAGCCATGCCCTCAGTGCAAGCACTTTACAACCTTCCGGAGGAGRGGCCACATTCCTACCCCTGCCAAATTGGAGAACAAATACAAAGTGAGCATGCTTGCCGGGGCTGTGGGTTAGATGGCACTGCAAAAGTAGGACGGCATTTGGTGAGCATTAAATGAACTTTTTTGCTTCACTGGAGCTSTGTGCAAGCTGTGATTAGGAATATGAACCTCTAGTACATCACTGATTAACTGCTTAATTGACTTCTAACAAGTCAAGCARTTAAACTTTTTAGCCTGGGTGTTTTTTTTGCAGGTGGCATAATTTTGTCCTGACATACATTTTAATTTAAAGAATGTTTTTCCTTCTGACATGCAAACAATATGGTTACAGTCAGAAGAGAGTGGGGAAGGGAAGTTACCACTATAACCAAAAATTTTAGACACACAGCTTTTCAGTTTTCCCTGAAACTCTGGATAAGTGAATTCTGGGCATTTATGATGTTAGGCTGTTGGGTTTGCTCCTTTGTTAGTAATAGAGCTGTTGTCTGTCCAGCTTGTTGGTTCTGATTTCTTCACTCCCTCTCCAGAGGTTATACACTGTGGTTGTCTCATCATTCACAGTGGAAAAATTTGAGAAATAGAGGGGAAAAAAAACTTGTACAGCATTTCCTTTCATAGGTTTGCTTATGGCGTGATTTTAATTAAAGATAAAAAGCAAGAGTTTAGAAGAAACTTTGAACTGCTGAAAGTCTAGGTTCCAGAAGCAGTTGTCTGCAGCATCTGTGTAAGTTTTCCATCCGGTTATTAGAATTGTTGTGGTTAATTTCATGATTGAGCTGGCCTTTCCTGGACAAACCAGTTCTCCTCAGCAGGAGTTTAGATGACTGTTTAGATAGCTGTAATTACATAGCATAATATTCAGCCCAGTATGAAGATTAAAAGGTGGAAGGTTGTGTATTCATTGGAGTTGAAAAGTTGGTAAAGCTAATTCTGAGTTACGAGTTATTTATGCATATCTGTGTAAGGCATGAATTACATGCCACACTGTCTGTTGGACTCAGTGTTTTCAAATTTTTGTCATCTTATGTTGAGGTGGAAAAAAATTTAAACTGCAGGTAAAATTCCTTCTGCCCACAGCTATTCTCCTTCACCCATCTGCTTCATCATCACCACTCATCAGATGTAGCTGAGGGTAGATCAGAACTTGTAATACTTTAGCAGCTGCCTCTCTTAAAGTGTCAAAGACTGTTAGTGTCTCACAAGTGCATGCCATAGGTGGTGCAGCTGTTGCATCATGGGCCTGCCAGGTCTGAGAACATTCCTCAAGGCATAGCCAGTGCTCTTTTATGRGTTAAAATGCTACAGTTAAAATGTTCCCACAACTTCCCTGCAAAGCACAGTCAGAAGGAATGGGAGACTGTGATGCATAGTGCAAGCCAGAAGCAGTTCACTKCAGTGTGGTGGTGACCAGTGGACCAGTTCACTGGTCATGTGGTGATTCATTATGTGTAGCTGTGATCTGCAGAGCTTGAATCTCCTAGGAACAGACTCTGGCAAAATGTAACCTTTGAGCTGAGCCCAGGTGTTGCATGCAAGAATGTCTAGTTGATGCTGGTCAGAAATATAACTGGGAAAATGCCAGCAAGCAGTATGGATGATCATGGTCCACAGGGCTTCAGCATACTCCCTGAACCTCTGCTGTTTCCTTGTGTAGGTACAGTTTTAGTGATTTCTTTTAATCTTAGCACAAGGAGAAGTTTTRTTGCAGGGGGAAGGTTTAAAAAGAAGACTATATATGACATGGCGTATATGTGAGTAATTTTAGATACACTCGTTGCTGTGCACCAATATTACCTGCTTTCTTAGATTCTCATTTGATTACATGTACACACTGTGTCTTGGATTACAGGCTCTTGGATTACCTTTGCTCTTTGGAGGCAAAGGTTTGTTTTCTTTTGTGTATAGCATAGGAGACATCTGCCTGGAGGCTTTTGAAGCTGCCCTATTCACATGCAAGCAATATAAAGAGCAATTGCACCAGATGAAATCTGCACCAGCACTGCAAGTGTTGGCTTCAAATGAACTGAGTCATGTGTGGGGAACACACGTGCACAGGCCTGCTGGTGGGATCACAGCCCATGAGGGCTCAGTGCCAGTATTCGCTCTCTTCCATACATTGCAACAGGAAAGCACTCTAAAATCCAAAATGCATTTGAACAGATACTTTAAAAATGTTATTAGTGCCATTTCTGAAATTTGATACAGTATTTAAAATTACAAATAACGTGGAAAATTAAAGAGGTGGAAAACTTATAAATTAATTTTTCTTACTATGGCTGGTTTATATGAGCTCAGCTGATCTAGGTCTAGCAGTTCAGTTGAAATTCAAGTCTTAGTGTACTAAGCCTAGCAAGTTAACGTGTGTTGAGGAAGAWGGAGGGGAAGATAAGGAGAACTAGCTTTCCAAAGCTTTATTCTAACATTAGTGCCACTTACGGCCACACAATACAGCAAGAGGACTATTTAATTTTCGATATAAGATACTTCTATCAGAAATGGATCCAGCATTGTATAATTTCCTTACCCTCTCTCATATGTCCTGAATTGAGAGTGCAAGATGTAGTGGCAGACAAGACCTTAACATAGCTTTGGTCAGAKCTGTTATGCAAAAGTGTAATGGAAATGGGAAAAAATTGAAAAATTGCTAGTTGGGTTCCTGTGCATGGAACAAGTAAAGATTTCACAAAAGAAGAGTTGTTCTTTGAGGAAGATCTGGCTTTTGCCTCTTACAGTTTTTTGACCTTCCACTTGCCATGGAGAAATACTCTGCTCTCTGAGATTCATAATGAAGTTTCTTGTTCACTTCCATCAAGAGATACACATCACATAAAAAGAAGGACTTGAGTGCTTGGCTTTGCAAATGTAAATGTTTTTTTCAATGCAGTTGTTACATAAACTATCTTAGAGTTTCTGAAAGTTGTTGTTCTAGAACTAGCAGGAATTCATAGCAGCAGAGATGCTGTGATAGAGCTGATCTGTGTAGCTCATATCAGTAAGTTCCCCACTCTTGGATCAGATTTTAACCTTAAGTGGCAGATACCTTCCTGGCTATACATYGCTTCAGTTTACCTTGAGCTTCAGCTGCTGTGGATATGGTGGTTTTGCCATGCTCTCCCTCGTTGCTGTCAGCTATTCATTCCTGCCTGCCTGCTTTTGCTTATGTTGATGTTTTGGTGTCACACTGGGAGCTGGATCAAAGACCAGCCCTAATGGGATACCAAATTTGTTTTATGGTTRCATATTTTCAGCTGGTACAAGAGATGATATGGATTGGTGATGAGGARAAGGAAGGTGTTTTGGCTGGAGCCCATATTTATTTTCAAATAAAGTGGTAGTAGCTGCAGCTAGAGACTGTGATTCATGTAATCAGTTAATTGCATAATTAATTTGGCCATCCTGTTATATAGCTGCTGTTCCTCCAAGCAGCAGAAAATCCCGTTAAACTTTTTATACCTTCAGATTGTCAGAATATTTTTCATGTGCAGTCAGTTTTGCTATCTTCAGGTCACATTGAGTGGTGTTTTGTGTTGAGATTATCTATCAGTCTTTTCCTGTGAGGTAAGGAAACTGATAGATAAAGTACCTTGCAGTAAAGAGGCTTGCTAAGAAAATGGAAAATGTTAGCCTTAAAGGTCAGTGTTTCAGRAAGATGAGAACCAGGAGAGTTAGAACACTGAGTTGTGTAATCTTTTCTATTTCAAGGGAGACTGATCTCCAGATGCCATAGGAGTTTGTGTATATATCCATCCTCTCAGTTCTAATCAACAGAAATAGAAATTGTAAAATAAGTGGAGAACGGTTTGTGTGAGGAAAAAACATATTGGAGAAAAACACAAGATTTATGTTTTGGGGGTTTAAAGATATAGAGTGTCTGCTTTGCTAGTCTTTAATATATTTTACTGCCTTAAATCATATGTAGATAGCATTTCTGTCCTTGCTCATACCTAACTACTAAGCATAAATCAAATCATATTTGACTTATCTTTTAGAAAAGCAGAGAAAGAGTGAAATAAGAATGTGAAAGACTGCTGTAATTGCCTTGCTCTGTTTCTTAAGCCTGGGAGCATCACACTGCATTCAAGTTTGAATGGTTTTAGGAGTTTATTTTGCGGCCTCTAGTTCCAAGAAAAATAAGGTTCATAACTACCTAAAGGACAGAGTTTTCTTTGCTTGCTTAAGTTATGCTCAGACAGCATTGAACCACAGAGAAATGAAGTGGCCCATTCAAAATGTAAAAACTATAAAACTATGTACTAGTTCAGTTTTGAGGAAGGTTCTGTCAGCCTGACAGGTGGATGAGGAAACTGGTAATGAAACATAGAGTTCTCACTAGTTCAGTTTGGGCCATTTGTGGTAAGAAATGTTATTTTGAGTTTGTGCGGTTATAACCTCATCCTGTATTTCAGTACTTTCTGATTAATATATTTGGAAACGTCTGATGTCAGTGTGCATGTGTAAGTTTAAATATATATCCTGCTGGCTGCCATATTGCTTTCACTTATGTACATGCTGCAAYAGAAAGAGAGAGCCTGCAATTAATTTGGGTCAGATAGTCACCATAAAACAAACTAACCAAAAAAAAACCCACAAAACCTGTGTTTTAAATTATGTTGCCATTTTTTTAAACAAGTGTTAACTTGCACCTTCTGACCTGATGATTTGGGTTTGTATTTTTTAATATCCATGTTTTATCTCAAATGTCTGAATGCTGCAACAGATAAAAGTTTTCAGGTTGTAGAACAGTTACTTGTGGCTACAAGCTTCATCTTTGGCTGAAGCACAACAACTACTGAGCATGACAAGCACTGAGCTTACTATAATCTGTCTTCCCAGCAGTAGGACACTGTGATATGCGTTGTTGGAAGACACAAATTCAAAGCTGGGGAGGGAGGCGTGGGAGGAGAAAAAGGAAAAAAGGAAGATATGGAGATATGGGTTAGAATAGGTTAGATGACTCTCTTGTGCATATTGGTTTTTAAAGTATTGTGGAAACATTGATCAATGCTCTGTGTTAGTTGGGTTAGCATCAATGTATATATTATTCTTTAGTTTCCTCAGAGCAGGAAATTTCCTTTTGTTAAACTGGTTTTATTAGTATAATTCATCTGGGAAACAGAGATGCAAGGTAGTATATATAAAATGTCCACTGAYTCAGCATCTTGACCACTGGCTCAACAAATTTGAGAAAAGACACCAGTTATATTTTATATTGTTTTTGCTTTATACTTTATCACGGCCTTGAACAMGTTTTCAGGTAAAAAATAATTATGTTTGTAATCATAATATTTTCAGTCCAAATGTGTTGTTTCCCTTTAAACAAGATGTAGTGATTGCATGTATAAATAATTTTGGCTACCCCTAGGCAAAATATATAGGGGAGATCAGAACACCTACTTTGGATTCTTTATTGTAGTCAAGGAAGCATACCACCCATACCACCAGGTGTCATGACTCAGCAAGAGGGCACAGCATCTGGTGGGAGCAAGAACTTCCGAAATATGTTTTGGGGACTTCACATGTGACTACATTCTAGGATGTGGTTTCCTGAGCAGCACCCCCACACCAGGTTTGGCCAGCAGAGATGTGCCCATGGTTCAGTGGTGAACCAAGTCTGGACTCAGATATAACCAAAACCTCTTGGTTTGAGTGGTTGAATTCCTCACTCCCACGCATCAGCTGGGTACAAAGCCACAGCAGTGCCAGACATGGACTGCAAATGGAGATGGTGGACAGGGCTCAGMAATTGCTTGAGAGCGTGAGATGTTCCTGTCTTTCAGGCTGAGGTGTTTTTCTGCCAAACAGAGCAAAAGTGAACATGTTGGAAAAGCCTGGATGTTTAATGTGACTTCTAGTTCTTGCTTTCCTTAGTCWTGATCCAGGTTAGAGGCCTGTCTTTCATCAGATAAGCAGCTGCAGTGTGCCTCTGTTACTCCTGCAAACACAGCAGCAGTAATAGCTGCTTAGCATTTAATGAAAAAATAAGCAGTATGTGGAGGACGTGATGACGATGGTACCTGTTTGACACAATGATTTAAAACCGAGGGAGTGGAAAGAATAGATCCTTTCTCAATTTGAGTATGGCTTGTGGGTTTTGCCATTAGGTGTGGTCTGTAGCAAGTGGGCTGTTTGGCACAGCCTCAGCTTGCCTTGACGCAATCTAGAGCAAGAGGAGGTGCCTGACTTCCCGTTGGTAGTTGTGGCTCTTGGATGAGAGCCCTGCTCATGGCCCCTTTTCCCAGGATCATTTCTAACATAAGCTTCATAACCCATGCTCAGTCCTCTAGAGTCCGTTCAGAAGACCAAGTACTTTYGTCTTACCTTGGCAATGAGGTTTATTCCTAGAAAAAAATCCACTGCACTGAAACCCGTCAGCTGATTTTTAGGTGTTCTCACAAATGTATTGGAGGCAACTGAATGAGCTTTCTGAATTCTGCCTTTTGTCAGTTGAGCCACACAATCAATTTGGGAAGTGGTGCCTATGGTTAAACCAAGCTACTTGTGCCTCAGTTGATAGAGGCCTTTCCCAACTTTAGCAATTCTGTATTTTCTGTCATTTAAAAAGGAAAACAACACGCTAGCTTCCACAACTTCTTGTGTTTTTAAAGCAGATCCTTCAAAATGTGTTAGACCTTTGCTGGGCAGCTGCTCTCTTAATGGAAGAGCAGTGGTTTTAAAACAAGTTTTCTAGCTGGACCAGCACCCAGCTTGCAAATGTGTGGTGTTTTCTCATTTGTACAGATCCAGTGTCCATCTTGCCAATTTGTCTGGTGTTTCAAGTGCCACTCTCCCTGGCATGAAGGCGTTAACTGCAAAGAATACAAGAAGGGAGACAAGCTGTTACGTCACTGGGCCAACGAAATCGAACACGGGCAGAGGAATGCCCAGAAGTGTCCAAAATGCAAGGTGAGCTGCTCTCCCTTGGCTTGCAGGTAGTGGCTTCAGACTGTTCTAATATATATTTAAATGTAGCTTCTGCTCAGCATTGGAAATRAAATTCACACTTGCTGTGTAGTTTCTTGTCAGTGACCCATTGAGAAAAACAGGTCAGATGTGTTTCTTCCTGGTTCCTGCACTGATTCTGCACAATGTCTGTATGTAAAAGAAATATTATGGAAATTATAAAATAAGGGGGGCTTTGATGTATGCATAGAATCATAGAACTGTTTGGGTTAATTAATTACAGAATTAATTAATCCTAAAATAAAGCTTTAAGGAAATGGAAAGCTTTAGGGAAATACGCTGCCCTTTCCAGAGAGTTTGAGTGTATTCAGTTTCTGAGTAAGGCTGGAAATACTCTGTCAACAAGTTAACTGAGGGAGACTAAGACTTGGCAAAACCATAAGTTTCTTAGGATTGAATTCTTGTTCTTCACAAGCTGTACCTCAAGGGGGGACTTCKCAGGCCACACCTCAAGTGCTATGTCCACTTCTGGGCTCTTCACTTCAAGAAGGACATTGAGATGCTGGAAGAAGTCCAGAGAAGGGCAAGAAAGCTAGTGAAGGGTCTGGAACACGAGTCCTGTGAGGGAGCAGGGAGTGTTGAGCCTGCAGAAAAGGAGACTTGGGGGAGACCTTTGCCACACTGCACATGCCCTCCAACTCCCTGAAGAAGGGTGTAGCTGGGTGGGGTTGGTGCCTTCTCCCAGACAACCAGCAGCAGGACAAGAGGGTGTAGACTTAAACGGCACCAGGGGAGGTTCAGGTTGGACATCAAGAGGAATTACTTTGCAGAAGTTAAACACTAGAATGGACTTGCCAGGGAGGTGATGTAGTCACCCGYCCTGTAGGTGTTCAAGAAATGACTGAATGTGATGGTGCCAGGGTCATGTGGCAAGGTAGTGATCASTGAGAGGTTGGAGTTGATGATCTCAGAGGTCTTTCCCAACCCAGATGATTCTCTGAAGTCTTTCTCATTAATTAGTTGAATTTTTCAACACTGAAATTCAGTTTCACACCCTAAAAATTACATTAATGCCTCCCAAAATAGGAAATATTTCTACTCAAATGAGATGCAACAGCCTTGCACACCCCTGCCCCAATTGCCCTTAATGAAGGCTGCTGTTAAATTTGTTCACTATTTTTTTCACAGCTACCAACAAAGTAGTAAGTCAAAGCTAGAATGTTTCATAGAAAATGAATATTGAATGGGCAGATTTACTTGTAAACATACGAAGYATATGTCACTCTATGAGCCTTACACTGTGCAAGTAAGAAAATGTTCATCAGTTCTCTAAATATCYTATTTTGGTCTTTGAGAAAGAAATGCCTGTGATGCCATACCTTGAAACTGAAAGATTGCGAAACATTGAGCAAAATTGGAAAGCTCTGAAATCAGCAGCTGGTTGTTTACCCTTCGTCCTGCACACATGTGACCTTTTAACAGAGTTTTTACACTTGCTTTTTGGTAAAAGTTGGTAGGTTTGAGGTAGTTCTAAAAATGTTCACTTTCTGGGAAAAATTAAAGTAAAATGCTTTGTTCCTTTCARAGTGGGAGAAAGTATGTGTTTTGATTTTAATTGTTTGACTTGTGTCCAGATTCAGATTTTATGACAATGGGAATGATGTAACTTGAAATAAATTGCCCAAAAATGAAGAAAGTGGACAAAGCAAAAAAAAAAAAAATGAATGTGGAGAAACAGGGATGGTAAGAAGGCTGATAGCTGGATAGAGAAAGGAACTAAAACTGTTAAATGTAAATTTAGCCTGAATAAGTTAAAATATAAAATGCCATATTTAAATGTACAGTGCTTTTCACCACCTTCAAAAGAAAAGACCGGACACTTGAAACTTATGTGGCTTGTCACTAATTCAGAAGTTGGATGAGTTTGGCTACTAATTTAAAAAATGGTTTAGTTTTCTTAATCAAAGGAAAGTAAAACCTCCTACATGGTAGGAGGCAGTATGGAAACTTACAAAACTAGCACAGAAAAAGAACCTCTGTTAAATCCTTCCTGGTCATGTGACACTGTAAATGAATATTGAAGAGGAATTCAACCTTTTTATAAGCTGTTTTGCTACCCCAACTCTTGATACTTTTTCTTCAGAGGTGAAAAAATTCTTTGTCTATAATCTCCAAAATGTTTTTTTCAACACAATTCATTTTTAAATCAAATCTACAATTAGCAAGTAATCAAAAGTACTACTTAGCAAGCAGTTAGTTTAAAAAATACGTCTTTGAGTAGCTCAAAAAATACATCTTAAGCAGCATTCTTCATCAAATCTTTAGTAGATGTTTGGGCATGTGGGGATGAGCATTCTGACAATTAACAATTTGGAGTCAGGAGAATTAGATCTAATACTTCTGGGCCACTCTCCTTCAGCCATCCCTCCCTCCAAAAGCTTTATATAAAATAACATTGAATCAGATGATAATCATATTTCCAAATAAAATAAAGAATGACCAAGAAAATAGGGTTTGTAACATGCTGTTTGATTTATCCATGTTCTACATCCACAGAGGCAATGTTTYGGGAAGAAGCATGCTTTATTTTTAATATCTTTCACATTTTGGTTGAAAATTTGCAGCAGCCAAAATTGAAAAACAGATTGAGGGAAAATCAAGAATAAATTGTGTCTAAAGATGTTAGCATTTGAGCATTACACTAAAACTGAAATTAATAGAAATTRAAGTTAGTAACCTTAAGTAGAGGTACAATTTCTTTACTGAAGTAATTTGTAAAATTACTACTAACTTTCCATGTGTGATGCTTATTACATTGTAAACTGTGACCGTGCTTTACAGATACCTTCTGGAGATAATTATTTACACACACGCGTACATACATACAGGCTCTTTTTATCTGTACCATGGAGAAGTCAAATGCATAATCTTGTCTGGGCATGCACACAAGAAAATCAAAACACACTTACAGGGTATGTGTATACAGAGGCAGATCCTCAGGCAAATACTCACAAGTATTTCAGGGGTTTGGGTAAATGACTTGAAAGAACATAATCCTTTGTAATGGGAATATAGCAGGGTCTGTTAGATAAGCTTAAACTCGATTGCTTTTTCCTGTAGTTGGATGCAGCTTTAGCACATCTAATAGAAATAGCTTATACTTATGTGGTCTCTCAAAGATGTGTTTACATAAGATAATAAAAATGTTATGAACTGTCAAATATGTAATTGTAGATTCATGTTGGGACTGTGTGTCAGTGTGGAAATATGACAAAAATGCTACTTTTTTTTAACTTCATCTTAAACTAATTTTGACATGTTTTTTTCTAATAGAGCCTTTTCCAAATTTATTATATGCTATTTTGAGAGTCAGCATAGACCATTTTTCTCAACAAAACTTGTCCAAAAAGTGCTGGTCTTTTTCTAGTCAGTCTCCTAATAAATGCAATCTTTCTACATTTTATTGGATGTCATTTGCCAAAATCTACAACCTGTTTCCCCATTACTGTTTTAGGGGGTTATTTCTTACAGTTTCTTGCTATGCTTGCAACAAAATGCTTTTGTTTCCACAAGTGTTTTTACAGTACAGCAAACCAAGGAAGTACTCCGTGTTGGTGTTATCTTGCCACAGATTTCAAAAACAACATTGTCTGAGGAAACACCACATAGSAGCTCTAGCTTAGAAAGCTTTGACAGCAGCAGAAGGCTAAGTAAACAAGCATGTCAATGCAAATAAAGGAGTGTGTACTTCTTATCTGTTCTGATTCATATAAGGGTTATCAAATTACTCAGGGCATAGTTTTTGGAAGTGCTCTGCAAATTAATTATCATTCTCTGCAGGGAGAAGAGTCCTTATTTGTATACAAAGGAATAAAGCTGTGCAGGTTTTCTTTGGGGCTGGAGGAGRCATGGCCCTTCATCCTCAGAACTCTTGGTAGTGATTTCCCTAGAGATTTCTGTGAGAGGACATGGAGGGTCTGAAATAGCTACTGTGCTACTTGAGTTGTCTGCTTAAGACTGAACTGGGTGTATTTGCCTGTGGTGTGCAGTTTTCACTTGTGTTGTTCTGGGAGCCATTCTTGRGTTTCTGAAAGGCTAAACCTTCCCCTGTAAGAGGGATTTGAACAGGCTTTGGGTGCAGGATGAAGTCTRTAACTTGGACTGAGTGCATGGAGGYAGAAATGGYCTGTCACAGTGCCCCCTCTGCCCTGGCCATGCTGCAGGGGAGCCATCAGTCACAGGGCACTGGGATCCRCACAGCCACAGCTTCCTTCCTACAGCGAGCAGCATTCCTGGCCCCCTGCATTCCCCTTGAGTGCAATGGGATTGTCAGTGGAGCGGGAGCACCCGTGATATCTGAGCCATCAGCGATTGCTTTCCCAACCTATAGATTCGTAATCCATCTCTGTCAGTGGATTATCCGGAGGGCAGGGAGGCAGGGCTGTGTGAACCRCAGCTGAAGTGGATCTGGTGGGATGGCATGTCTTAGGCTTGAAAGCAGCCTGACCAAAAGATACAAAGTTCACCTGGCATTGTCAGTCTGCAGTGTGTGTGATGGGGAGTCCAAGCCCTCCATCTATGGTTTGTGGGGGTTTTTTACTTTGTTTTTTTAATCAGGTCATTCCTCACTGGAAAAAAAAAGAAGTTTTTGCAATAAGAAGATAATAGGCAAGTACAACCAGTTGTTCCAGATTTGCAGCATTTGAAGACAGTTATGTGCTGATGAGTGTTTACTAAARTATTTTTATGGTTTGCTTTTTGAAGAAGCAAACATGAAGTGGATGTAGTTGCAGTATGTGTCTGTAAGAAAATAAATCATTATCAACTTCTTTTGATGTTTCAAGGGGACGGTATGTGTGGAGAATTTAGAGCAGAAACAAGTAGATTGACAAATGATTCAGGAGTAATGCATGACTTAACTGGARGTGGGATGCTTCTAGGAAAGCGTGGGTAGAAGGATGGCAGGCAATTTACAGGTGGATATTTCTAAAGGTATGAATGGTAGAAGAAAAAAAGCTGTTGCTAGCATCTTTTTGAAGTTCTTAGTACCGACAAAACTAATTTATTTTTGAAATGTGAAGTAGTTTTCATTTGCATCTAGGGTTTTTATAGGTTCCACACTTCTACATACTTTCAGTGAGGATGGATGGTAACTTAATTTGGTTGGTAAATTAGAGGAGAGGAGAATTCGCCTCATTCAAAAAGAAAATAAAGCAACYAGTTAATTTTCCTTAGTGTCTCAAGATCTACTTCCCTCATTTATATTTTTAAGGTGGAAGCAGCCAATGAGGAAAGTTACCTTTGGAATTACAAAAGTCTGTATAGTTGCTGTTTGAGCTTGTCCCCTGAAAAATTAATTTGAATTAAATTTTAAATTTAATTCATTAAAATACATTAAGTCACCATTAAAATGCCTTCATTTCAGTTCAAGTTAATCTTAGGAATTACACTAAATAAACCACAGCTTCATAAGTGGAATCAACGGGGTTTTTCACATATAACCTCTGAAATAAGAAGTTGAACTGAYAATGTAATGTGCCTTTTAGAAGAAGACAGTGTCAATCTTAAGTTACGTTTAAGTTGGTATAATACTGGGYAGACTTCTGTTTCCACTTTGCCTGCTGTCGGTGTGTAACTGTAAAAGTTTTGAAGTCAACTGGCTTGTAAAGCTCATTAGCAAAAGTGGTTTTTCAGTTGCTTCTGGAAAACAGTACACCTGTGATACAGCAGAATTCCTTGGGGTAGAGGGTGATATTTGCTTGGTCAGAGAAATTTTAAGTCCACTAAAATACTTGCCCACTATAAACTGTTTTTTTAATAACCCAGTTCTCTCTTTGGGGAATGTCTTTCCCCTCTTTTACGTAAAAGCAGCATTTGAAAGGATAGAAATGCAGATTCTGAGATCATTACTGTGGCACAGGGATGCTGGCAGGTGTAGCTTGAACTACTGTTACCTTTGTAGCTCTCTTGGCAGGAGTGTTGCTGGTGGGAAGCATCCCTTTATTACATGTATGAAGTGCCAGTTTGAGTAGATGTCTGGGTGAGCAAGGTGAGATCCCAGATCACCCCTGATCAGCGCTAAAGTACAACTGCACCTGATCATCTCAAGGATGCTGGATTCCCCAGGAGTCACAAGCTTCTCTTGAGCTCAGTGAGTTTTCAGTGTTTCTGGTGCTGGTAGGGCCACTGAGTGATAATGCCATGTCTTTGCCTGTACCTTCCTGCAAAATAAATACATGTAGGTCAGTATAGGAGTTTCAGAAAGCATCCCTTTGTCTGTTGCAAGTTTCAACAGATAAAATTTGAAGTGGATATAATGGAAAAAAKTATTCGCAAGGGWGGATGGTGAAGCATGGTGCAGATTSCTCAAAGAGGCTGTAACATACCAATATTTGGAAATTATTTAAATCACATGGGATGAGACCTGGAGCAATCTGATCTGTCTGGAGTTAGCGTAGCTTGAAGTTAGGGGTTAAAATAGATGACCCCTGAGAATCACTTTCAGCCTCAATTATTGGGCTRTCTGCCATTCCACTGTGGAACGTGGTCTTGGAATGCGGGATACGGAGCTATATATGCAGGCAATCAGTAGAAAGATGGCTCTGGAACCTGGGCAGCCCTGCTTCATATTGTACTGTGGGTAACATGAAAGCTTGGTGTACTTTTTATTCTATATAAAGTTCGTGAGATTTTTTTGTTTGTTTTTTTTTTAAAGAAGAGAAAACCATCCCTACTTCTCAAATCATGCACTCTAACAGCAGTGTCTTTCTGGTGTTTATTACAAAATGCCAAATCAATTTGTGATGGAAAAGGGAGTGGAGCCACAGGTGGCCTAAGAGAGAAAATCATCTGTGGAGGGGTCAGAGTTCATAACTATATTCACTGTGTTGCTTTTATTTTTAATAAAGTTTGGTGCTTCTTATCTACTTCAGTAATAAAACCATATCTTCAGTATGGGCAAGAATTCTCATCTACATGAAGAATGTTTAAAAAAAGAAGGAGGATTATATAGGAAATGGGAATCTGGAAACAGTAGTGACTCATTTAATGCTCTGAAACAGGCCTTAGGAAACCATTATTGTCTTAAGCCAGCTGCAGTATTAATTAATGCAAATACTAACTGAGCAGGGGGATGCTTGCATTTTAATTTCATCTGACACYTAGTGCCTACTTTCCTGTGGTTAGGAAAGGGGGAAGAATAATATTTCTTTTTTTCCTTCTGCTCATATAGATCCACATCCAGAGAACCGAAGGGTGTGACCACATGACCTGTTCACAGTGTAACACTAATTTCTGTTACCGTTGTGGGGAGAGATACCGYCAGCTCCGCTTCTTCGGAGATCACACATCAAACCTCAGTATCTTTGGATGCAAATACCGCTACCTYCCCGAGAGACCACATTTAAGGAGATTAGTTCGAGGCTCTGTCTGTGGTGAGTGGTTAAATATTCCCTGTGGAGAGCTGCACAATGAGGTGATTGGGGGCATAGGGCAGTTATAGTTAAATTAAAGYTAGTGGTTTAAAGTATTGGATGGGCTACTTGTTTTTCAGTTACTCAAAAGGTGGTTTATTAACTACATTTAAGTATATGGTGTTTGCCCCCCCTTTTTAGATGGACTGTGTATGGCTAAGTATGTGTCCTCTTCTGATAGCTTGTTTCCTAATCTTTTTTAATAATATGTAAGCAAACTCTGTCAAAATGCGTGTTGCTTGCTGTGTGCATTATTCTAAAGGTATATAGGAGAAATGGATCRGAGGAGAAACCTTATTTGGATTAACTTCCATGTCTGTTTGTCTAAAGTGCTCTTGGTATTTGAACCTGATCTGAGTTGAAAAACTCAGATTTTCCCATATAAATAGGAGGACATTGTTAACTGTTAGCTTTAATTCAGATAAAATCCAGCTAGAACAAACTACTACTTCTATATATTAATTTTGCTTACAAAAGTATGATGCCAAAAAAAGTCTTTTTATTAAACAAAAAGGCACTCATAATTTGCTTTTGAGCCAGATGTATATCTGTCTCAACCTATAGAAGCACAATAAGCTATTGCCTTATGTGGGGTCTTACATATATGTTAAGTTTAGTCATTGTAGTGAGTTTGCAACATGTAAAGTGACCTATAATATTACCGGAAATTAATGTATTAACTGTCAAAAACTGGGAGTCTGTTAAGGAAAATAGGACCTTTTGTATTTTGAATTAAGGCATAAAAATTGGAGATGACATTTAGTTCACCTAGGGTGAGAAAATGCTTTGAGCTTGATTGAACTGAGGTAAAGGCAAGAGATGGAACATGTGGGAAAAAGAATTCAGCAGACTTGAGGTGAAAACATTACTCCTGAGCCAAATGCAGCCCAGTAAGAAAGCTAGATGATTTCCAGAGTAATGTAAGAACTGGCACACAAACTCATAGACCTGGTAATAAAAATGCCAATCTTGCTGCTCTGCAAAGTAGTGTGAGATTCGCAAACCTGGAATGCTTGTTTAACAAGYGACGATGTGTCATCCAAGCCCATAAGTTTGACCTCAAGAGCTTGCAAGGCTTAGGTAACAAACTTTGAGAGAGGTGCTTTAAAGATAGAGAAATAGCTAGAAAGGAGAGTGGAAAATTATTGGAGGTTCCTGCTCTGATATATTTTGTAGAGATAAATTCCAATACATGAGAAGATCTAGTATAGATGAAAGACAATGCTGGCACTAGGGCGCATGAATATAAACGTTCAGTAATAAGTTTAGGCTTAAAATTCAAGTGTTTCAAAGCACTTAGATTTCAGAAGAACTTACAGTATTTCCCATTGTGGCTATTACTATAAGCTGTTTTTAAATAGATCTTGGCACATTTGATGTAATTAGTCTCTGCTGTAGCACCAGATTGCACTCGGAGACATTATCAAGTCAATGCTACTCACGTGCAAAATCATGGGTAACCTCATTAGAATCATAGAATGGTTTGGACTGAGAGGGACCTTTAAAAGCCACTTGCAATGAGCAGGGACATCTTCAACTGAATCTGATTGCTCAGGGCCCTGTTCAGMCTGGTCTTGGATGCTAATGCTCTGTGGTAAAGATGTGTATGCTCATATTTACAAGATCACACATAGAGAAGGTATAAGATAATTTTATTTTCATCTCGTATTTGCAAGTGTACTTGTACTTGTACTTGCAAATTAATTAGTAACCAAGAAAGATTAGCAAAGCCTCAGATTACATTTTAGGGTCTTCTGTTAGAAATTTCTCTCCAAGACTCCCTCTGTCATGCGATGTGATTTTTCACAAGAATGGTCAGCGTCTGACTATACACAGAGGTAACTGAATCTGCCAGCACATGTAGTAATTGCCCTCATTTTTCTAATAGCTTACAYCCAAGTTGAATATAATTCAAAGAATTCTGCATCAATACTTATGACCATAAATCTCTGTCATCTCTACACCTCTAAATTTTAACRTTGGTCTTAATACACTTTATTAATAACTACCCAAAAACTCCAGAGACCTATCAGAACTCACACACGAAAATAAAGAATTTAAACCTTTAAAAATCTGCATCAGATTTTAATTTGGGAATTGAGTTCATAGCTCTTCCTCCATTACAGTGGATTTTGGCTATGATTTGCATATGTGAGCCAGTCTAGGTTTTTGCATTTTTTCCCACACAAGTGCACGTGTGGGGTTTTCACATGCATTTTTAAGAAGGAATTATATTGCTGTAAGACTGTACTTCCTGACCTTTTTCCTGACCTTTTGAAGGAGGTATAATCCCAAACTGTGATACAGTGTCAGTTTAAATATGTAGATTCTGCCTTTTTCAATGCTGGAAGTCTGCTAAGATCATTATCTTTGTAAAACAGAATTTAACAGAATTGGCCTGTGCCTGTTAATTTGCCTTGTATAAAGGTCTGCCTAATGAGTCTGTCCCCAGCAATGGTCAATTAGAAATGAAATCTCACTCCCTGTTTCCAGTAATCACTGTTTTAGACACTTCCTTAGTTAAGGTTTGTATCTGAACCTTTGCCTTATTATCAGTATCAATAGATGGATCCTTCGCTAGTTTTAACAGTTTTTAAATTTTGGCTTCTGCAACATTTTGGCAGAGGCTCTAGGATTTCACTTTGTGTTGTGTGAAGAAAGTACTGTAGGCTTTTTTTGGTTTTTTTTATTGATTCCTGATAAYTTCTTTTCTTACTTCTGTTACCATGAAATTGAATAAATAATAGTAGCTTGCTTACCTTCTCATATCTTTCTTTTATGGATCCTCCATCAGTTTCTACTTTGTCAYGATATTTGATACCAATTTTKGGGGTTTTTTTKGKGTTTTATGTTTTGTGCTGAGCAGAAGTTTATTGTATTTAAAACACAGAAATGTTGAATTCCATTTAAGGATCAAACCCAGGCTCAGTAGCTGGAACTACTGTGGTGTAAATATGTAAATACTTTATCAGGCAAGAGAGTAGCGTTATCATCAGTAGATATTCCTGTACAAGCCTGCATTTTGGTTCTGTTCTAAAAGTCAGCAGAAGAAGAGATGGTGGCAGAGAGGCCATTAAAAGCATAGCCTCTACATTTTAGTAGCATGCAGTAAGAAAAAAAGTTTGGATTTCCTGTAGAAAAATGCCTCTGCTAGTTAGCTAAGTAGTGGAAACTAAGAGAATGTTATCTTGGCTRTCTGTGGAAGACTGGTGAGGTGTTGCTAGATGTGTGAGGGTTTTGTATGACTTCTTTTACTTTATTGCTATGGAGAAGAAATAYTTCAGTAAATGTGATTTCGTAGCCATGTGCATTGAAGGTTTTTAGGCTTGTTTCTAAAATTGGATCRGTGGAGTAGTAGAAAGTAGTAGAAAGAACACCTTCATGGTTTCTGTTGAGAAGGAAGAGTTTGGGCATACAATCACAATCTGCTCTGCAATAAAAGTAAGTGGAAAGTATTTATGACAGCCTATATTTACACATAGTTTTCATTATAAACCAGCTGTTATGTAAAGGTGATAGTAATCATGGGAAGAAGACAATCTGGAGCAGAATTGATTTCTCACATTCCTTCCCCTCTTTAGCCAGCATGGTTTTTAGAGAAACTGTCCTGTGACCAGTACAGTTAAGTGAAATTGTTTTTATTCTTCTGCCCCACAGAGTTAGAGATTTTGTTCTCATTATAATTGTTTGACTAAATTGTTGAAGGCAGAATGTTTGGTTATAACTAGAGTCAGTAGTGAATTGTACAGAAGGGAAAAACATGTTCAGCTGTCTTCAGTGTACTTAGGATGCCACTGGAATACCAGCTGGATTCAGTTGGGTGAATTGTCTTCAAAATCAATTGCTAGGTACTTCATGGATCTATAACAAGACAATACATGTAATGAAGTATTAAAGCAAATTTTTTTTTTTGCATGGTAACAAGTATTTCAGATAGGATTCTGAAAGCAGGATATTTTCAGATGTGACTGACGTGTATTCCTGTCCCAAGCAGAACACAAGTTTCACTTCATGTAAGCATGGCTTTGAGCCGCACAGAAGGCAGCATGCAATTCTGTGATCCAGCCTTCATTAGCAACTTCATCATTTAAGTTGGTCTGACTTTTAAGAAGTTGTCTCTACATGTGATAGRACTCTTTAAAAACAAATGCAAACATTTATTAGAACTTATGTCTATAAAGATTTTACTGTTTAGATTCGTAAATATACAMTTCTATTGTCTCTACTTAAATAATAATTATATTTAGACTTGAAAGATAAAACTTAGTATTTCTCATATGCTAGTGATTAATTTTGTTTTCTAAAACTAGTTTATTAATTTTTTACACGGCAAAGAATTCTCTTAGGGTATATGGGGGTTTGTATATRTTACCCTAAAACCTGTAGCTAAACCCAGAGTTATGAAAGGGAAAAGTATTCCTTCATGTTTCCTGAAATACTTCATTATTTTGCAAAAAAATGTGTTTCTTTGTATTAACAAATAAGGCAGCCCTTCTTAGACACCTGCAAATACAATAACCATCCTGTAACCATAACAAATGCCTGAATTTTCATGCTGGGCCACCCAGTAGAGAAATTGTTTACCATTAATTTGAGTGCAATTGTAAAAAGGTTCTGTTTCAATCACTTTTTGTTAAGTTGTCCTTAAAAACTAGCTTTGGACAMTAGTACACTGGCTATCATAACCTAATGCTGAGTTCACCACATGGGCTAATGACCCGAGGTTGTTTTCAGCTCTGAGACAGAGCTGGTGTTACATTTGTTCTCTCTGCTATCAGTCTTGGAGCTAACAGATGTAGGACAGTGGATCTTTGGGCAGTTTAGTGCCTGCAGCAAGCCTCCTTAGTGTCAGTGACATTTCTTGGTGTGTTGTGATTCCCTTTGTGATTAAAAGCCTCATAATCCTTTGCACTACGATGAGCAATGTTTGTCAGACTGGAATTGGATATAAAGTAGTTTGCAATTCTGACATGTAAAACTGAGTATTTTGTAACTGTTTTGTACAATGCATATAAAAGTTACTGGAGCAAATAGTGCATACCTGCTGCTTTGTAGTGATTGCTGCTGTTTGTACTCTTCCTGATGGCAACCTTTGCAAGCCTTGTTCACCTTGTGTTATTTGTTAATTTTAGTATACAAAGGCAAACAAATATTAAGGATTTAAATGTGACATATATAAGGAGAAAAAGTATTTTGTTTTGAAATTTAATCTTTAGAAATAATGCATTGATAACCAAAAGAAGATACTGTCTCATGATGATGAAAAGTCATTTTATTCTAAAACCTCTTGAAACTACACAGCTCTCATAACTTCATATTCACAGGCAGARGGAAAGAAACTACTCATGCTTTCTTTTAGCTCTGAGTTTGTCAAATGTAAGTAAACAAGTTCTTTAATTACCTCAGGAAGTGTTATTTTTCTCTTCTGAGAAATTATTCCAGTTAGAGGCTAGCTTAGCTTTTTTCATAGACTCTGTTGCTGCATTCTCAGTCACCAGCTCAGTGGTTTAAGCTTTTAATAATTTTGGTACCAAACATCATAATTTTCTAGTGTTTTAATTACACAGCTGTTAATAAAGTAAGGAGTTCATACCTTAAACATTAAATCTTTCATAACGTTTTCTTGAAATTGCTATAGGCTCTGGTAATGTTTTAAAATGTTTTTAATTGCTTATTTTTGGACCTTTCTTGAGGTTTTCCATTACTTTACATTCATTCTTCTGTCTGCACTTGAATAATTTATTTGACACGTTCTGTGTGTATAGAACACAGTGCAGTGGAGTCCCAAGAAGGTATGCCATTAGGATGCCTAGCAACTAGAGTAATACAAACATTTGCCATTTTTCTTCTTCTAGGAATTAATGTTTCCCACCCACAACACTCCTGTGAAATTTAAAAGCTATCAAAATAGGCAAGAAAAGGACCAGTTCAGTTAACTGCTGTAAATATTTCCAAAGTATCTAWTTTTTCTTTCAGACTGCTCAAATTAGTGTCTCAGGTTATGGAAGGGTTTACATCATTATTGTATGAAGTAATCCACTTGCTGAAATCTGATATGAGTGACTTGAAGAGAGGGAAGGGCAGGGAAGAGAGAAGTGTAACAAATTTAGTTTTTCTCCCATTCTGGAGGTGATCTTTAAAATACATGCCTAACTTAGAGAATTGCAAATTCCAAGTCTCTGATCAGACTGCCAGTATATCAGTAAAAAAACCTGCCCTCCCGCATTTTCAAACAGCTAAGTAATGTCTTTGACCCAACTGCTCAGCCATCAGACCTGGGGAGAGTCTTCCATTGAAAGTGTGCAATGCAAGGAAGGTAATTTGGGTTCTGATTCARTTTCAAATTCACTGTTTCAGCAAGACCCCTGGCTTCACTCTGAATTTCTACAGATCATAAACTCATCAGAAGTAAAGGAGTGTGCTTTCTTTGTTCTTTGTTTTATACTCTAGCCAGTATGCTGCTCAACATTGCAGCCCTACCCATGTAAGAGCTACAACATCTCCTTATAAACATAGATCCAAAATAGACTTGGCTGTGGTTTGATTTAGACCTAAATCRCAGCTGTACACGAGCACCTCACTGTAGCCTCCTAAAGCAAGCTCAAGCATATTTAGAGGTGATGGTCTCATCACCTTGAGCTAACCTAAACTTTCCAAGATGCTASTTTGCTTGGTATCTTTCCAGGCTSGTTGCTGTGCAGTGGGATTCCAGAGAAGCCAAATGATAGTAGCTTTATAGCTATCACGTTCCTGTCGATGCTTGAGGGATTTCAGAATGGAAACAGAAATAAATGCAAGCTGTTAATGTTCAGAATAAGCTGTGCTTGGAAAGTTGTGGTGGGTGAAGAGGGCAGAAAGAAATGTGTGCAGGGAACTGACTGAGTGATGATAGCTCCTGGCTGAATTTGTAAGATGAAATTACAAAATGAATTTTTAGGAATCCTATTTGTAGGGGTAATTTTTTTTTAAATAAACAAAATATTGGGAGTCTGATATCAAAATATTTATGAATGGTTGCAAAGGAAAAATAAAAATTCCTTCTTTGAACTTTTTAATGCATTTTACATTTCAGCTGGAAAACTACTCATTACACCCCTAATATTGGTTCTGGGACTGGCACTGGGAGCTGTAGCTGTTGTAATAGGTAAGAGTTATATATATGAGTGAATCTAATCCTGATTATGCAATTACTTTCTCTGTATGATATTTCAATATTTTCATTTTAGAGACATGGAGACAAAGTACAGATTTCACAGATACTGTTTTAGTATTAAAACAATTTTAGTATTGTTTCTGAAATATTTTTCTCTAAAATGTTTGGGGGTTTTTTTTGGCATTTTAAGCTTATTAGCTTTATTTTTGTTCCCAATTGTTCAGTTTTCCAAATCAACATCTTTAACTGGTATAGTTAAACTAGCAAAAAGTACAGAAGGACTTAAATGTAATCCTGGGGGTTGACCTACCTGGACCCAGCCTTTAATCACTCCATTGAAATACAATTTTATGTTCTTGACCATGTATATGACAAGATTTTTGAGGAACTAAGACCTAGTCCCAAGATCTCAGCAGCTTGAATGTGCAGCAGCAACAAAGCAGCAAATTGGGATGAGTCAGTCTCAAAATATGATTCAGTGCATAGGCTGCCAAATTGTATTCCATCATGAAAACTGGTACTGTGAACTCTTTTGATTGCAGTATCAAAGCTCTGTAAATGTGATTGTACTARCATGGGGACAGATATTTTAGCAAAGCTGCTCTTCGCCTGGCTTAGATGAGTTTTCCAGCAGAAAGGAGATTATCTGGGACTAAAGGTATAATCTTGCTCATATGAGTGCATATCCACTCTTTTTATGCTGGTAATAATATGTCATTCCGGGATCATGCTGCTTCACAGCTCTTCACCAACCTGCTTAGTCCACTGAAAATTTGCAGTGCATGCGCAGCCCTGAGGTATATTGGGATGTGACTCCTTAATTTTGATATAATAAAGCCAAAATGCACCAGGATAGTTATATTAATAAGGTTGTARCTAACCAATCAACTTGTAACCAAAATACTATTACAGCTTTTTTGTAGACTACAYGTACCCAAACAAGGAATATTGCTGTTAATTTCTGTGTTTAGCTCAATCACCTTCACTGAAGAGAGGGTGAGGAATATCTATCTTAAATACTTATTTTATTCAATAATATTTCATTGTCTATAATACTGACATAAAAGACTTCTCAATGCCAGTAAAACTTGTTTTGGTCTACAATCAGGTATAATCTATGGTGGGGAAAAAAGCCTACTCTTACACTAAAAATGAAGAGGGTTTTGCACTAATATAATAACAGTGTTTGCAATAATAATTAGAATGCTGTTGAAGTCTGCTCCTAGGGTTGGTTGGATGAGATAAGCAGCAGAATGAGCAGTTCCAATCCAAAAGCATTGATTATTTATAGGAAAGTTTTGGTTTTGAGGTAATTACAGCAATATTTGCTGCCAGCCACTGTTAAAAGTAGTCTCAGCTGCGAAGCTGAAAACCATACTGCATCATTTACAAGGCTGTTGAGCAAAGCAAGAACCCTGTGACTATAGTAGTCTTTAGTTCTGTGTTGTTACTGTAGTGGCCTTTCAGTCAGCTGGTAGCRAGAGAAAGGGGAAGATGGTTCTCCTTCGGGTTTGAGAGAGTACAGAGTATTTGAAAAACTATTTTTCACCTGAATAAATGTGTTACGTTTTTTTGGGGGTTTTTTAACAGCTTTTTTTTTCACTTCAAAAACTTCTAAGAATAAATTGTTCCCTGTCAAGGCAAGGTTAAACACTCGGTATTATTCAAGGATAAGCATTTTTTGTTACTTCACAGTAGATGAGGATGTTTGTAAAAATAAATAAAAAGTAAAACACGCTATCTCTATTGCATGTGAATCTAATTGAAAGCTACTTTAGTTGCATCAGCTTTGAATTTAGATGTAAGAATTTCCACAGTGCTTCTAAGTTAAGTTTGTACCTAGTACCAAACAGCATGGTTCAGAAATTAGTCAGAGATGAGTGTAGAGTTAGTAGGAATTTGTTGTAAAGGGAAGAATAAGTGTAGTTTAACTCGTTATCAAAGGGACTGTTTGTTGCAGGCTAGTTTTTTTTTCTGCTTGTYCAAATGCCTGGTCTAAATTCTCTGAGACATGGAAAGCTCCATCCAAATGCATTTATTGAAAGAACAGAATACACACACAAAGGATTRCATTTAATTATGTTCTTTTTTCATGTTTCCTTCTTTTGGCAGGTTTATTTGTGTTTCCTATCTATTGCCTTTGTAAAAAACAGAGGAAAAGGTCACGGACAGGTATGCCCTGGTGAGGATGGACCTTACTTGCCTGAACTGAGCTGGTCCTGCAAGGGCTATCCATGTTTTGTGCAACAGAGCAATACAGTGCTGGTTACAGCATCAAAGCCACCGCCCTGGAAGAAGAATGGGGGCTCTCCTGCCATCTTCCCTCAGCCGAAAACACTACTGCAAACCAGAAAGCCTCTTTGCTCTGGTGCACTCTCAACAAGATGGGCCCCCTGACTGCTGCTTTTTAAATGTTTTTGGTTTTGTTTTTTTTTTTTTTTAGTTATTACTTTGGAGGGGTTTTTTTGAGTCTAAGTTTCTGAAACAGACAATCCAAGTCTGTGTTGTAGCCACAACTCTAGTACCGATTTGGCCTGTGAAGAAAGCATTTAACTGCTAACATGTGCTCGTTTAACTTCAGTGTTGGCCTTTAAAGGGGGAAATGCTTAGAAGTGTTTGGACTCTTACTGTATACTGAGCATATTACTTTTGGTATTAAAAACTACTTCTGTAAATAACTTCCATCACACAGCATTCTGTTCAGCATACCRAAACCCCATCACATGCCAGAGCACGACAGCTGGTTATCTTCTGAGTCCTCCTGCTAGTGGAGTGTACATTGCCACCGCCAAACTGCAGTGCCTCAGAGGGAATACCCTTAGTACTGAAGCGCCGTGATATTTAAGAATATGGTGATTGGTTTCACTTCAGTAATTTATTTATGACAGTCTATTAATATTAATGGTAGGGGGTGTGACAAGATTTGTTACAACAGGACTTCATTTTTAAATTCTCGCAGTACAGRAAAAATTTCAAGGGTTTGGATAACAAGATGTGTCATGGGCCTGATCTGTCTCAAGATATCCCTGAAGTGTGTTTGCAGGGAAGCTGGAAACTTGCTCTTCTATTCTGACTTGGAATATGATACACACGTTACACACTACCTGTGTGAAGATTGACTTGATGAAATTTTATAACCTAAATAGCACATTTYGTTTGTTTGTTCCTTTGAGTAGGTTACTACTTCGTAAGTTTTGAAATATCCACTGATGTCTCATGAGGAAAGTCTGTGAATCCAGGGTAAGGGGAGGGATCATGAATTCTTAGGAGACCACTTCATTCTTATTTTCTGCTTCCCCTGTTTCTCTTCCTGGTGCATGACAGTTCTGTAGAGAATAGTTATCTTTGCTTTCTTTTCTTAACTTCAGAGTTCCACTGTTTGCTRCCAAACCTCTTTCTCAGTGCATCACCACAAATATGATGTAATTCAGCATAAGAAATCAGCTACTGAGAATTTTTACACTTTTAATTTTAACTCAAATTTATCATACAAATATAACTTAAAAAATAGAATAAAATTTGTGTAGACAGAACACTRAAACAATAAGGAACTGAATAAGAAAAATATCTACTTTATACTGTAAAAATACAGGCTAATCTTAAAGAAGATTGGATTTGTACTGTGAAGGTACTTTTTTCAGTGTGTGTGTTTGAAGATACACGTATATGTATATATATGTTTGTGTATATATTGGAGAAGGGGGAAGAAAGAAGATGGGAAATGTCCTTAAGAGTCTACAGACTTCAAAATACAGGCTTGCAAATAACCTATCATTTCAGAGGAGGTACTTTGTACCACTTTCTTTGGAAATTGTTGTTAAATCTGAATGCGGTTGTAATTTTTAAACAAATAGTATTCTGCCCCACCAACATAATACTGTTACAAGATACTTACTTTGACTTTGAAGCCTCAGTGCAAGAAGCTGATGACTTTTGTTTACCTGGAAACACAAATATCAGCTTACCGTAGTTGGCTAGTATGCTTGTTTTCTGTCAGCTTCTGGTTTTGTTTTCTTGCAGGTTTGTTTTTTTTTCTTTTTGAAAGTGTGTACAAGCACACCATAGCAGTCAGTAACTATTCAATAATTTCCATTTGAATTTAAGGGCATGTTGACCCTGTTACCCTAGCAGTAGAAATAGTACTTTTCAAAGATTTGCAAATTAAGCAGGAAAGCAATGACATTTAGAAATAAAATTCAAAACCTATTGTCAATGCAAATCCACCTGTTAATTAGACTTACTTTCTTCTGAGGCACATYAGTTTTATATTTGTGTTCTGTCTGAGGTTGGAAGCTGCCTTAAAATTGGTCTTGGTTTTGTGTTTTCTGAGGCTATACATATCAGTTGTCTTTGGCTTACTCAGGGATTTTTATTCCTCTCTTTAAATGTCAAATAATGAAGATATTTTTGTATTATTTAGAAAAACCTTCAGACCTCAGAGAGCGATATATATAAATAGATTTGGGTTTGCAATGCAGTCTATAACATGGTGTCAAACTATTCCACTTGAGAATATTTTAGTACTTGAGATTATCTGTAATTTACTACACAGTGGATTAATTTTCTTTCTTTTCCTGATTCTGTATAAATGTGAGATTTTTCTGGTCTTTGTAGCTGTTTTCACTCTGCCATGTTTGCCATTTTCAGTTTTTAACTAGAGTTCAGTAAGATCTGAAACTAAGACAAATAAAGAGCATAAAAGGGAAGATAATAGATCTGCACTTACTTCTATTCAGAAACCATAACCCTGTGGATGGAGAAAAGGAGCATACAACTCAGCTCCTACATTATCATTTCATCTAGACCATTTTGATTTTATCGGAATGGATTAAATCAAAGGGAAATGGTTCTCATTTTCTAAAGAGAGCAAAAAGAGTCATCTTTGACCTTGTAAAGATGACTAAGTCTGTGCTTTTGCTGCAGGGAAAAAAGAAGGAATTAAAATAATTTTTACTTTTTTGTCAAACAGAATAAACTTTCAAGAGGCATAGTAGGGATATGGAGATCTTTTTCCATCTGTATAAAATATTACCACTTGAAAAGTACATAAAAACAATTGTTATCAATATTATATAACAGAATGTACTGACACATGAGAAGTACTTAGCTTCATTTGGTTAAACATTAGCTTTTAAACAACTCACCACAGAAAACCTTACACACATCAAAGCCATATCATTTGTTTTAAAAGCATTTGTTAGTTTGAAAGAAATTCAGTGAACTTTAATAAGGAAATTCAAGGATGTTTTTATCATGTTGATGTGTTGTGGCTTTTGTAACTACTCTAAAGAAATTATCAAGCTGTTCTACTCCATCTTTATTAGCAGAAAACTTCATCAGGCAGCTAAATTAACCTGCTAAGGCAGATTTCACACTACTGTATGCTGATCATTACTGCTCATTGTGTTTGCTTTCACCAGTTAATATTTAAAATTATTTATTCTTGTACAAAGTTTTTGCTCATCAATACCTGTATTCAGACTAGAAATGTTGGATCTGTTCTACACTTGCCTTCCGTTCCAAGCTTGCCTGGGGATGGATTTGCCCGTGTGCAGTCAKAGCTGGGGCCCTCCCCATGGTGCCATGCTGTGTGTGCCCCATCCTGCTCCTGGGAGGGCTGGCTGCACACACCACCCCAACGGGCTGCTCTCCTTTTCACCACTATGCAGAATTKAGTTGAATCTCATTAATGGGGTCAGCTTCTAGGGCGACTCAGCCATATCAGCAGCAGGATCATTCTGAGTCCTGTGGCGTCTCAGAGCATAGTTTGGTATATATGCAGAGTTTGTTCATCCAGGAGCTTGTGACTGGAAAATGACTGTTTTTCCTTGTGTCATTCTGTTAGCCAGTGGGAGTAATAAGCTGAGTAGGAATACAGACAAGAGGCAGAAGAGCAGTTCTGAGAAGCCTTGTGCTGAGCTGACCCATCAGGTTTAGTTCCATGCTAGACAGGCAGTGAGTCTTCAGCTCTCAGCACTTCTCAGCATATTCATACCTCTTCAGCGTCATTAAAGTACCATGCACTTTGAGTGATCTATTCTCTTCCTCTGAGRCAATGCAAATGTGTAAGGGAAGATTTTGGGTTTGGTTTTGATGTTACTAATGCTGAGTTCATAACTCTTCCTGCTATGTTAGAGTTGTTTTTTTGGTTTTTTTTTGGTTTTTTTTTTTAATTTACACCTATTTATTCATTATGAAAGTTTTACTTTATTAACAATATTAATTTGCAGGAATTATTGCCAATTTTAACTAGAAATCACTTTGGATCATCAGCAGGTATTCTTTTTAACCAAGAGGCTTTTTGCTCTTCCAAAGACTATTACATCTCGTGTGATGTTAAATGGTGTATAGGTGAGGGCAGTCATTTTCTCAGAGAATACAAATTCACCAGTGATGGAACGGTTTCTTATGACATTTAGATCTGAGAAACTGATTAATGTTCAATGGCCAAATAGTTTGCCATGCAGACTCTTGGTGGGTTTGTTTTTTTTAAATTTAGTTGTATTTTGTTTCTTGAGCAAACCTTACATCATAATTTGTGGTATGATAATTGTGCAAGTTCAAGTTATGGATAAGAAACATGGATTGCAGTTACTTTTATAATCTATATTAGATCTCTGCTGATGGAAAGAATCCTACATGAGGAAACTATTAGATAATTTCTTACTCTTTTAATTTTGCAGCCTTACAGTTGCAGTGAGTCAGCTTCATTCTTGACGTCAGTCAGAGCCCTATTAAACCAGAGAAAACTATTTTTATGCCACTGTGGAATTTGGTCACAAATACTTTGATAAAAACATCTGGAAGTGTGTTGATAACCATTGAAAACCTGGTTCACTTCAGAAGTGCGAACTACTATGGAGCCACTCATTTGCAGAATGGTGCCAATGTGTTCAGTAAGCACAGGAGAGGGAAAGAGTTGGGAAGAATTTCCAAACAATGTTCTTATTAYAGCAGATTGTCAGAAGGGATACTAGTTTTTAATACAATAAAGAAACTTTCTTAATGCTTTGAGTAGAAAATGTTTTTTTCAAATAAAATTAGACATTACATCCAAAGACAGTGTTAAAATAACATTTCTTCAAATTCTGCTTKCTTCAGTGTAACAAATAGGAGTACAGCATAAGAAATGGAATTGCAGCTGTTAAGTATTGTTAGTACTTACAGCGCACACAACATCTAAAAAGTTATGTTGCTGATATATTTGGTGGTTTATGTTGCTACTGTTACATGAAAAACCAGCTGAGYTGAGCCTTATTGAAAGACAAGCAGTGTTTTTCATGTGTTACAGCTTGAGCAGTACTTAACACCCCCAAACTTTTTTTTAAATAAAACGAACAAATGCAGTTGCTTGCGGACTGTACCTTCCTGGCTGATTCTTCCTTGTCTTTCTGTGCATAGGAGTTCAGGATGGATATGTTCTCTCTGCAGTAAGAAACAGACTGTACATTTTAGGCAATTAATCACCGATGCTTCTCTTCTCTTAGCCTAATAGTGAAATGCCATAAGGTAGGGAAATGAAAACAGATCCTAGAGTGCATGCTCTGATTTCAAAGACAGAAATGTGTAATAAGCTTTAATTACTCCATGGCAAAAAATAAATGCATATATTTTGAAACAYAATTCCAGCTGTAAAGTGATGGATTTATTAAAACATGCATATTGTGCAAAAGAAAACCTTTTTTGGAGCTTATTTGGCTTGTCAAAACATGAAAAATTAATCTGAAGTGTTTTGGATGGATCAAAGTCAGAAGAGAAGCTTACTGTGTAAAAATAYTTTGTTGTCATAAACATGAACTTTGCACATATCTTAAACACAGTTGCATGCCAACCCCATTCAGTGTTCACCTTGTTGAAAATTTGACTGAAAACAGTATTTTTGAAATTTTTAACTTATTGTCACTGAGCATGATGTTAGTAATACAATGCCACATTTACCTCATTCTTAGAAGGAATTATCTTTACAGAATCCAGAGGAGTTGTTCARATATTTTAACCCTGTCCTGTAAAACTAATTAGGAAACATCTTCATGCCTTATTCAAGCTCTGGATGAGCAGATAGATTCAGTCCTTAGTCATGCACTATGTTTTTGCATAAAAAAAGTGCACTCTTAAGAGTTTTTCATATCRATTTGCATTCTGCTGCTTTGTGTCCAGAAATTGCAAGGACAAGGGTAGATTTACATTTCACTGTTTACCATCTCATAATAAAGTGTTTACCATGTTTCCATTGTTATACACTTCATTTGTAAAGCTCTCCTTTTCCTTCTAARTTTCATAATTTGAAACTGACTTGTGAAAATGGCTGAAGATCTAATTGGATGTGTAAAATRTGATCTCATAGGAAGTTGCTTCATTAATGCTTTGCTGAGCTACAACAGCAAAAGATTACTTTTGTTGTATTTAAGTTACTAAAATGCTGAGATCTGTTTTTCTTCAGAGCTTTTAATTTAACATTTTTAATGTATGTAAACAGCACAGTCATCTGTTGCATAACTAACCATCTGAGTACAAAATAACATTTTAAGATATTGGTTAATCCTTGTTACTATGGTAGATGAGAATAGTGCTGGAAAAAAAGAAACCATTATCTCTGAGGAGCATGTCTGAGCTGAACCTTGTCTTAATTCCAAGAAGTCTTTGTTTCCATCTCTTTTATGTATTTTAGGGTGGAGAATTCCCTCTAAAATAGGTTTAATTTGAATGGCAAGCTGTGAGGGTAGTGATATAATAGATCATATCTTTGTTAGTGTACAGGCTTCTGGCACAACCAGGGTGCTGGCCAAAACACTGTGGATTCATGAAGAAAGCAATTTCTAGTTCTGCATTCAGGCAACATACAAGCTAGATGAATCAGTGATTAGAACTTTTTGTAGTATATTTATTGGAGGACTAAGTTATAAAAACTGGAGGTAGGCAATGCCCTTGAAAACAACACTACAATTGCAGTATTTAGTGTGGTTTGTATAATGGGTAATTTTAAATGTGTTGTAAGTGCCTTATTGCCTGAAACAAATGAAAGGTGTTCATACCCCTCAGTAGAGCAATATGGGAATTCCTGTTCTGTGGACTCCTGCAGTTATGTAAAGTAACCAGTATTGGTTTGCTCAGAAAGCTGAAAAATGTTACGTTAGTGAAGAAGTTAACTTAATATAAAAGTAATCTGGCATGCTTATTTTAAAGCTGGTAATCTCATTTCTGAGGGTTTTTTTAACTTGCTCTTTGCCCCCATCCCTCCCCCGATTCCCATCTTCCTTCAGCCTTTGCAGAAATGCATCTTAAGTTGTTGCTAGAGTAAATTTGGCTCCTCCAACCTAAGAAAGCATGAGTTTTATACCACTGAAAGAAATGTAACTTTTTGGAGAAGAGAATTCAGCCAAAGTTCAGTTAGGCCACAGCCTGTTGTAGGTAAACTTTCCAAACWGCAGGGTTCACACGTGCCCTGTTCACAGTAATTCATGGATGTGGAAGCACCAAGGAATATGGCACATGGAGGTGCACCCAGAGCAGGTTAACAGCATTTAGCATTTTAGTTCAGCTGGAACTAACATATCCTGTTATATCAGTTGCTGACTCCTCTGGGGTGGGTATCTGGATGGAATAAACCATCAGTCGAGCTTGGAGGCACAGCTCTGCAATCTCTGTGCAGCCCTTCATTGCAGGGTGGCAGTTGTGATCTGGATAGATAGTACTCATTTTGCCATCTTCTGATAGCTAAAAAATGGATGTTGTAGGGTCTATTTCATCTTACTTGCTTTTCCACAAAACAGTGCAATTTTACCCTTTATGATCTGCATTTCCTAAAGGGCCTGTATTTTCTTATTTACCTTGATGCCACTATTGTCCATTGATTATTGAAGTCTGGTGCCAAGAATAAGCTACTTCTCTAAAATTACCTTGAATTACATGACCTTATGGTAGCAATTATCTTTTAAGAAATAATGAAGTATAAAAGTTAATTATCAGAAGGAAATTGAGTTAATGGGGGGTAAGACGAAAAATYATGATTAGAAGGTCTATTTATTATAGTTTCATGAACATTAAATGGTTTTACTGTGTTCGATTTCCTTCAACGAGAATTTGTGAAGGAAAGGAGAAATTAAGATAAGAAAAGTATCCCTTTGAACCTTTTCCTGAAATTACTGAGTTTTCCAGAAATGTAGGCTTTTTTTCCCACCCTGGAGTTATTAATTGGTAATATAGCTGTCACAGTGTTACTGTTAACACTAATGTGAGTGTTTAGTCAGGATTCAGCTTGCATATCTRAAGGTTTTCGTGATAGGGAGTTTGATTTAGAGCCCTACTGCAATAAAATTGTAAGTGAATTATCACTCTTACAGGTATCTTAATGACTTCTATTTCAGCATTATCTCAAATGTTTAGGCGTTTACTTTGTTCTTCTATAATCCATTGAAWAGAAGATGTCATGTATCAAAATACTCCTTCAACCTTATGAGTTACTGTTTATTTTTGCAAGTTATTTCCTTAAATGAGTTTTTTCTCTTCTAKAACCAGCAGGCACACAACCAAAATGCTGATAAGTTTTTCCCATTATCTTTGTCTTGCATTTAGCTGATACTGCATTTTCTGTTGCACACTAGTGCAACATGTCTTCATGCTGTTATAACTTGATGAAATAATTTGGTAGTGTTGGGCAACATTTTGCAAATAATATCTTCAAGTTGGTATTTTAAATGTGTACCAATAATTACTGTTCAGTGTGCTACGTATGTGGCTGCTTTAGTTCATGTTAATGTTTTGTAAAGATTATTTCTTGCTACCCTCTTCAGAGTGCCTTTTCATTTAGRAGGTCTAGAAGATGGTTTACTGAAGTCTTCTTTTGAATCTACCATAGTAATGTCTGATCTTTAAACTTGTCCTGATGAATGTATAACTAAAATCTTGTTCTTTAAAAAGCTACAGTAGACACARGTTGTATATGCACATGTGCATGCATGGATACAAGGGAAGGTGTTCTGCCAATGTTTGTCCTGCTGGACAGGACCTTTCGAAAGTAAGTGAATTTTTTAACAGTTTTATTTTCAAAATGTTACCTCACTAGTATTGAATAGTAGGTATATCTCTGTATTGCTTCACTTTGCTAAATACAATCACGGTAGGCAGTTTAATTTTTAAAAGACTCTGCGATGAAT